CAATTACGCTTGCATGCAGAAGCCGAACATGTTAGGCTAAAAACTTTAAATGCAAAAGGCTTTCATTCAGAACATCATCTCCAAACTGACTCCACCAACGTTCTAAATGAAAATGAAAATATTTTATGAATATTGATTGAAAATTAAGACTGAACATAAATATTAAAATTAAAATTATAAATATATAAATTATAAAACATACCAGGAGAATCATGTGTTTTAGCATGCTTGTGCTGCTTTAAATCCAAACATTTCATTCTTTCAGAATGAAATTCCTTCAAGTTGATCATTCACTTTGAGATATTCTTCTTCAGAAATGGAGTTTGTCCATACATGCATACAAACCAGTTTTCACCTCTTTATCACACATGAAAGTCTTATCATAATGAAATTGAGGTTTAAAGTATGCAGCACATGTAAGTGTTGGTGTAATTGACGATCCCACTTTTCATCTATAATATCCCATATTTCTTTGTAGGCACTTTCTTGACCTCCCAAATCTTTTGCAATATATTCTTTAGCCTTATTCATGCTTTATAAATAAATCCCATGGCCGGGGCCCTCTCACCATCAACCATTCTAAGCAACCTTAACTAATGTGTGTTGTCTTCAAAAGCATAATTTGTACTCCGCCAAAATGAATCATCTTTCATAACAATTTTTTTTAACCTGTTTTCCTTCTTGTTTTTTTGCCCATGAACTTTTATCCCATTTCTTCCAAAGCAAACATAGCTTCCAAAAGGTTGCCTTAACCTCCTTGAATCTCGTTAATATTTAAATATGCAGATAGCAAATCTCGTAACAGCAGGTCTAATAATTTCATTGTCAGTGAATTTTCTCATTCAAATTGAGTACCCAAGAATGATTGTATATGAACTTACCAACGAATTTGGCCTTCAATAAGGCTTATTATGCTGAGGCAACTGTCCAAACCTCTCAAGCATTAAATCAATGCAATGTGAGCAAAAGAGTCTAGTAAAGGTGAGGCCTCTTCTCTATTAACATTTCCCCGACAGCTTTAATATCACTTGCATTATCAGTAACAACTTGTACTACTAAAGCATCGCCACTTCCTCAAACAACTTCACAACAATTTCAACAAGTAATTGTGCATCATTTACAAAACTTGAAGCATACCATGATTTTAGAAAAACTATTCCATATGGATTGTTACAAAGATTTAATAATACTTCTATGTCAATATCTGACCAATCCATCTGACATTATTGTGAACTCTTGTCTCAAATCCCCAAGTCTTCTGTAAACATCATCAAACCATTTTTGAAGTTGTCTTTGAACCTCCTCATTCAGCAATCCAAGTCCTCAGTTCACACATGCTTGGAATTAAGTAGTCCTCTTCCATAGCTTCCAACAGATCGTAACATATTAATCCATGACGGACTCCTAACAACATTAATGGAATCCCATTTCATTGATGAATCTGACCGATATCAAACAAACCCTATTCCTGAGTTCTTTTGTAGCAGTAGGAGGCTGAAGATCCTGAGTGGTTTATGTTATCCTCATCTCTCTGTGCTGGCTCGGTACCGAGTATGTACCTAGCAGTACCGAGCTTATACTGAGCAGTACCAAGCATGTACTTTAGGGTTACCGAGCATGTACTGAGCGGACGAATGAAAGAAAGCCGAATCAGGAGTTATTCAAGCTTTCTTTACTACACCTCAAAGTTAAGGCCACAACACCGCTCACCTGCTCTTCCGACCTAACCGAGGCCTGAACGTTTCCTGCACTCACAACTTCGGCTTCGTTTCCTGCTTTCGAAACTGTTATTGCTTTTGGATTCGTTTCCTGCGTCGTCTCCTTCTGACTTCGTCTCCTGCACTCATGGCTTCATCTCTTTCGCTCACGGCTTCGCCTCTAGTTCGCCTTTCAATTCTCACAGGAAGCCCTAATCCTATACGCGAATACACAAACACGAATCGGCTGCGTCGTATTTATATATATACCGAAGAAAAAATTTCGAGTCGGTGCCTCATACTGCCTGGAGGCGTTACGCTCTAATGCATACGCTTTGTGCGAAAAAATCGTACGCTTCGCTGGATGGTTCGAGGCGTAAGCCCTGATACGCATGACTTCCGCCTCGACTTGAGGCGCGACTCAATGCGGACGCCTCGTCCACTTTTTTATGGTTGAATAAAAAATAACAAATATAGGAATTACATGAACATGAAATTAACAACAAATTTTGATTTTTATTCTCTTACTCATACTTAATAATCAATACTTTTGAAATTTCATATCATAATGTCGGAGAAATTTTACCATCCTCAGCCTATTACATATTTTGCGATTGAATACGATATAAGAAAGATGACATATTACCCCGAAGGATAAAAATATCATATCCCTATGGACTTAATAATAAAATTTACAATTCTAACAAAAACGCCTCCATTCAATATCTAGTTGAATGGGGCTTATTTTATTCTGGGGTACGGATGCCCCAATGGCAAGTCCTATGGTTAATTACATCTCAAGCTTGGTACTTGAGAAAACTTTTGATTAAACTAGTAGTTTTTTTTTTCTTTTGAAAATCATCCAAATATTGGCTAAAGTTTTGATTTTAAAATCCATGAAATTATTGTTTAAAGAGTTTGGTCTTTAGGAATTTCAAAGGATGAGAGGATCAACTTTGATTCGAGTTCTTGGAATGAAAGCCAAGGGGGAGGAAGAGTAGTACTTGATTTTGAGTGGTAAACTCAGAGGTACTCAAAACTATCTTATATTGAGCTATATATTTTAGAATCTAATTTTTGTTTAAGCTGACAATTTTAATTAGAATATTAGGTTTTACATTCCAATAACATGTGTTAGAGGAAATGTGAAGGTAAGAGCTTATGGGGTAATTGAAATCAACCACTACCTCAAATCCTAGAACTAAGGTGAGGACTATTAAGGGCTAGTGCCTTAAACTTAAGTCTAACAAAGTGAAAGAGACTTACAAACTACACCTCACATGAGGCATATCCAGACCGACTTTTGGATTTATTGCTTTGCCTGAAAAGGACTACCAACTAACCCACCTAGTTATTTTTAAAACTATGATATACATTCTTAATGTATATGAAGAGTAGTGAGGTTGTTTTTGTTTAGATGATAGGGCTTACAACTTGACTTTTAGGCCAAGATGCCTGATCATGAGTGATATATAGAATGTTGACTCACAAATGCAATTTTTTGGTTATCTGATTATTAAGTGAAGGCTATTCTACATGAGCACTGAGCTATGCATAATCAATTTAAATTTTAGAAAACATAGCTCCCTTCCTTAAAAGGGAGTCATACAAATTTTCTTATATTTGAAAATCATGAAGCCTATTTTGATTTTAGATTGCTTAGCATTTTAATAGGTAAAAATCTTAGTTTTATCCTAAGAGTCCACTGCATTCACATGTTCATGCCACCCCCAAAAAAAGGAAAAGAAGAAACCTAAGAAAAAATATGTATTTTCTATTGCGCAATCAGGTAAATAGATCAAAACATGCTTTCATCTATAAATCAAATAAAATGAATGTAAATTATAGATTCCAAGTTATTACAACCCAATTTGACAGCTGAGTTATCTGTTATTATACAACACAGTCAAATATTTATTGCAGTCTCTTGCTTGTGAGGTTTTCAAGCTTTTGACTTCTAAATGGACTTTGGACTTCACCTTTATCAGATATATCCTCTTGATCTACCTCCTTTAACTGATCCCTACAAGTTTGATTACAATATCCTAAATCTATCAAATACATGTTTGAAAAAGGAACAAACTCAAACCTGCAAAATTATGGATTATGAGAAGTTTATATATATCATGCAAACACATCCAGAATAGCCTAGCACTTGATGTGCTAAGCCTCTGCTTCTATCCTATTGGCCATGCCTCTTGAGGGATTTTAAGAAACAGCTATAATGCAAGTATTTTTTTATTTATGATTTATGGTGCCTCTTTTTGGACATAGCCACTTGCAAAAAAATTATGTATATATTTTTACACTATCCACTTAAGGACAAGTACCCACATTGAAGATAATCCAATAATCATCATATCAAATTATCAATCACATGCGTAGAAAAAGAAAAATTCTAATTCTAACACGCCTAAGGGGTTGTGTACCTAAATTTGCGTGGCATGTGTGACATATCATACTATGGAATGTGTTTAATTTTATTTAAGAATGATGATGTTTAATCTTAACCAAGGTGGTTTCTCTCTAAGTTGTTTGTGTCTTAAAGATTTTATTTGATTTTTAGGGGTTTTATACTTATAAGGGTTATGTGGGGAACCCATAAAGCTGCCATTACTTGCTTTGAGGCAAGCCTGCTGCTCATGAATCCTAAGTTACAT